CTCAAGACTCAATGATGGGGTTTTCGGGGATAAATAAAATATTTGTATACCATATCTGAGATGCTTTTTAAATTAAGTTAGAAAGATTTGTGTTTTCTTGCTGCGTGCTTGTGTTTGTTGGTCATGTCAAGTGAAGATGGGCCACGTCTGTGAACAGTTTTATTTAAGAGCAAGAGCAGACACTAAGCAAACCCGGGGACAGATCGGGTTTTATTTGGATACAATATGCAAGGCTTTGATTAAAAAGTTTCAACTTCGTTCCTACTTTCTAGCCCCTTTTCTCCCTGTTTGCTTTTCTCAAGCCTTTGGAAGACAGTGTGTCTGCCCTCGCAATCTCTGAGCAAGGCTCTATTTGTCAGCTTCTATTAGTGTGCAGGCAGTTTTCAGACTGCATCAAATAAATAAATCTGTCAGTTCACAGTCTGGTTGTCTCTTCTCGTGCTTCTCACAAAAGTCTTACTTCAAACTTTATGCATTCACTAATGACAATATATACCTTTAAAATTACACTAAATTCAAACCCAGAAATTCATTTGCTTTGGCTCGAGTCTTACGCAGATCATTAGGCGCTGGATGAATCGCTTGGATGTGAAGACTTAGAATGAGGCAATAAGAAGCCCAGGATTAGTTCCATTTTGGTGGCTGGAGGACGTACAGTATATTTATAGCCGATTAAGTCTTCTGGACTCCTCAGTTCTCGACTGTTCTTTGTCTCAGCTGATCAATCGCAGCACGTGCTGCATGCTGATTTACTACACATAGTTCTTGACTCACTGACATGAACATTTATCATCTGTTGCATGTGACGTCTGATTTTTCAAATCTTATAATCTGAAAGATAAGTCTTGACTCACTGAGATGATATAATTGACAGTGTGATTCAGCAAGACTCAGAGTGGTGACCTGGCCAAAGCCACAGCACGAGAAAGGTTTTTAAGTTGTCATGAGAAAGACATTTTGAGGTGAGCACATTTGCAGCCCCTGGAAACAAAACTTCAACACTTTCACAATGTTCGTCTTCTAAGAGATACTGATGCCAATAAAGTCAACGTAATATTAATTTTTGCCTGAGGTGGATGATCATATTCAGTTCAATTCACATTTATTTGTGTAGCGCTTTTCACAATAAACATTGTTGCAAAGCAGCTGTACAGAAAATGCATGTATCATATAATATTAGTTGTAAAGCCGAAGTGTAGCTTGTCTTAAAATAGTTGCTCACCCAAATTGACACAGCATTGTTTTTGTTTCTCCATACAGTTAAACTCAAAGGGCAGTTAAAGTTATAAACATTATTGAAATGATCCATGTGAGATATGAGAGTGAGTACATTTTGGGTGAACTATCCCTTTAAGATAATCCTATTGTGATAGTGTTTTGGCATACTTGTGTTAATGGCATTTTGTTGACCTGTTAATGTGACACACTCATGTATATGAAGCAATTGGAGCATCTGTGATGTCATGTTGGTTCACACTCACTGCTATTAGCAATGCATAATAAAGGATAAGTAGGCTTGGCATTTCCTGGGGATCGTTTTACATTTCCATATTTTCATACACAAATGAGCTGATTTTAACACACACATTGTATGTGGGTTTGAAATTAGCTGTGGTCTTAGCAAGGTAATACAACTTGTCTTCTCATATTTGAGATGGTCAGATCTTGTTATAAGATTACATGTAATATTCTTCATTCCCACAAGCTTGAGCGCAACTGTAGAATATTGTTGTGCGGTTTTCATGTGCAAAGTTCAAGGTCTCCAAATGTTGCCATTTACATTTGTTCCCTAGAATTTAAATTTGAGAATGAATTGAATTTAAATTTAAGAATGAATTAAAAATTAAAGCTGCAGTCTGTAGCTTTTTTGGGTTAGAAAAATATCCAAAATATATACGTATTTGAGAAAATGCATAACCAGCCAGCCAGTGTTCAAAACTATCTGCTTGCCTTAGCTCGATTTAAAGCGGTAAGCGGTAAGCTTGTAATTAAAAATAATTTTTAATTCCAGTGGTACTGTTGGATTTTCGCGGGAGATTCGAGCTTGTCTTTGCGTCATTACATCACATCTTTACACATAAAGGAGGAGTCTCGGCTAGTAGAAGCTACATTGCATGTGATGATGCTGGAGGTTGAGATGTATAGCCTTTTCTCGCAGCACTTGATATAATCAAACTTATCAATTCGATGGCGGATCCAGAAAGGTTCGCAAAAGACTTCGTTCGGACTTCGGAGTGGCAACAGAAAAAAAAGAGACTGCAACTGGACCCATGCGAAAACAAGGATAGCGTTACATATCGGAAGGACATTACATGTAGTCACAATGCTGACGTTGTTAACATTAGCAAATTGAGAATAAAGTATAATTTGCACGATTTTGCGTGATATGATAACTTATATCAGATGTAATCAGTGCGATTTATTGCAATAACCAGAACAAAAGTGGATGTTTCTTGTTCAGATGACATTTTCAGGTGAAAATTCTTATGTTGGTCATACTTCCAAAAAGAATAATCTGTGATTCTGAATGCCAGTATCCACATATGCGCGGTGACTGACAGCCTCACATTCTCCTCAAACATTGTGTTCATCCACACTGTGCCGTGTCAAGGGTGTTGAAGTACAACTCGCGTTAAGTTGATAATTCCGCGAATGACTGCAATTGCTGATTACAAACAGAGATGGAGACAAAGAGGAAAAAATGACGGACTGCAGCTTTATTTTTCTTTTTAACTTCACTAAGCAGCAGCCATTTTAGTATCACGACCTGATAAGGAAACAAATAAACGTTTCTTAAGTATTAAATCTTTAAATCCATACATCAATGTATTAATTTTTTCAAATCTTTTTTTTTAATCGAATGTAAAATGTCACATTAAATTCTAATGAGAGTGAGCTGATTCTTAAATCCTGGATTTTGTTCAACGCTGAGCAGCTAGTGTTGTGTACTTGTGAAGGTAATGTGATTTTGACTGTGATTTTAACAATGCGACTGTTTTTCCAACAAAACAACTTCAGAAGTTATCAGGGGGGATTGTTTCCAATCCTCTTATAAAGTGGAGCTGTCTCAAGATGGCAATAGTACAAACGACATACAGGGATAAGACAAACATTAGTCCTGTAACACTATCCACCAGTCAGATGGAGCATCCTCCGTCCGAGCCAGCTGACAGGTGTCCGTGCCTCAGTGGTTAACGAGTGCCGTGTGAACTGCTGTCTCTGTGTTGGCCGCTCACGCAAGTGAACTCAATTGAGCAAAACAAGCTGATGCGCAGGCAGCAAAGCCATTTATGTTCTGTTTTTTTCTCGCTGCTGACACTATGCTGCATAAAGTTCAATGCACATTGAGGGTACTTTCCATATTGCCATTCTGTGAATCTTGAGTAAACCTTAAGATAAAATCAATCCCTTCTTGACCCATAATATTACATGTTAACAAATTAATCTAAGGCCTCATTTCAGCCCAGGATGAAAGCACGATTATGGGCGATTCGCAATTCTTCATCCTCATCATTTCAGTGTCTATTTACAATAAGTACAAATAGCCCGCCTTTTTTAGTAAATGCTATTTAGCTACACTAACTCCACCTACTGACGTCTGGTTAGGCCAGACAAAATTACGGAAGACACTAGAATGTTTACAGCAGTAATAATGTAGGGGTGAGGCAGAAAGTTCTGATGCAAATCTGACGCCTTTTGTCAAATTCACTCTACTCCCTTTTTCCATCTTTTATCAGACAGGAAAGGCATTTATTTTCAATAAAAATAAAGAAAATATTCAAAAAAAGAGAAGTAAAAGTGTCTTATGTGTGTTTATAGGTTATGGTTAGGGGAAGGTTTAGGGACAGCTTTATTACCCCAATAAGGCCCATCCATTTAATAATTTTAATAAATATCACCATTACATTTAATTTGTTATTATTGAATGTAGGCTACAACAACACAATCTTCCACTATTTTTAAATATCCTCTTACTAGCCTACTATTTACACTTATTGCAAATAAAATTCTGTTTTTAAATAGTGTAAATAGCAGATTGCTAAGAAATGCTGTTACTTGCAATTTGTGTAAGTATAATCTATTGCTATTTGCACTTAGTGTGAATAGCATATTGCATAGTGCAAATAGCCGCTGCCTTATTTCAAATCCCCGTCTGATTCGACCTGTGCCTCACCTACATTTGCCTCCTGTCAGTCATAATGTTCATTCATTTCCACCTGCATGCTCACAGCGCACAGCTCTCTAGCTCATAAACAAACCTGGCAAAAAATGAACACCTTTTTCTAGAATTAATGAATTAATTAATGAAGCTACAGTATGCACATAATGCCAGGAAACGTGGACGTGGGTAAATGTGTGCACAACAGAATCTTAATGTAAAAATGCTTAAAGGAAAATAACCTAACCTGGTCCTGGGGTTTTTCTACTTCCCAAATAGTTTAGTTTTCTAATTTCCTGCCAATATTTTGGCCCCAATAAATAAATAAATAAAATGTGTATATTGTTATCATTAACTAAAACCTAAAACTATTAAAAAATAATTTCTATTAATTGAAATAAAGCTCAAATTAAATAAAATAAAATATAAATGTGACAACAACTTGGAAATTATAAATGTTATTTTGGCAACTGACTGGAGTAAGTTGAAGTACTACAATTTAAAAAAAAAAACTGAAATAAAAATAAATGTTTGGTATTTACACATAAAAAAAATCTTTTAAAATTTGATTCATGATAAATAATTTCAACACATTTAAATTTGATTCATTTAATGCCTTGCACATTGCCAAAATGCCGTATAGTGTCTTATTTGTTATTTTTAGGTGACCGCAATGAACATCAGACTAATAATCCACAGTCTATGAGACACTACATTGCATGACTAAATTGGTGACTGAGCTAGACTAGGTAGACTTTTTTTTTTTTAAGAAACATCTGAGGTTCCTGTATGCTAACTTTTGGGTCTCTCTCTCTCTCTCTCTCTCTCTCTCTCTTGGTAGAAACAGGACAGGAGCAGGGCCTGGATCTGGAGCCACCTGTCCGGATGGAGGAGGAGAAGGAGGTCATGGACGAGAGGGAGGTGGAGGAGAGAGTGGTAGAGATAGAACGTCCTCTGCCATGCCTCAATGATTCTGACACACAAGGCATTATCAAGGGCAGAGATCTATTCGGATATGTCGGCATTGAGGCAGTCTTGGACCAGATGAGACGCAAAACCATGAAGGCTGGCTTTGAATTTAATATCATGGTGGTTGGTAAGTGGAACATTGGTCTGATTTAGTTGGAGAAAATAAATCAGGATATGTCCAGTTTGTATTTTTGACCAGAATAATATCAGGCCCTGATAAAAAAAAAAAAAAAAACCAACGTCAAAGCTGATTTCTTAACCACACATTGAAACTTTCCATTTCCAATGGCATGCATAACTGCTGGGCCTAAATAACTTCACACCTCAGTTTTGTCTTTGCTCAAAGTGTGAACTGTTGAAATGGGGGTGTTTTAGCCAAGACTGAAAATAGAACAGACTTAACAGAAAATAGAACAGGCTCTGTATAAAATCGTAGAGTATGGTTTGGAGGGACTGAATGGAGCAAGACCGTTCAAACTATATTCAGTCTATAACAGGGAAGTGGTGTCATTGGCTATTAGGGTAAAGGTTTAAACTCAGCGATAGTCAAATCTGCGTACTTATGCACTATTCATTTTCACACATTTATCGCATGAATAGTGTGAGTGATGATAATCATAACGCGTTTTATTTTTTTCATTAAGTATTTTTATTAAGTCAAGGATCGAAGATTGTGCAAAGTTTTAAAAGTGAAAAGCTGAATCTTGTATTCTACGTGATATTTAACAGGAATCCAGTATAACTGATAAAGAACAGGAGAGATGTGCTCTCCAGGTTTCTAGTAATAATGCGGGCGTCTGAGTCCTGGAGCAACTGAAGTTTATGGAGAACTTTGAGAGGTAGCCCAAATAGGAGAGAGTTACTGAAATCAATGTTTGAAGTAACTAGAGCATGTACAAGAATGGCTGTGGTATTGGGTGTAAGGAATGGACGAAGAAGACGAATATGTGGACAGTGTGACATTATTAACATGTGTTTCAAAAGACAAGCTACTATCTAGGATGGACTAAAGTAGTGTGTTTTTCACATTGTAAATTTCAAGAAGCAAAAGTGAACTTTAAATATATCTGGATGGTGCACTTATTATATCAGATATTATTTCATGACAAAGTATTATTTTAAACCTTACGAATGGTTGAGTGCATAGAGCATATATAAGATATTGACATTTGGCACACAATTTATTATGCAGTTGTTAAATATGTTTATTTATAAAAGGTGGCTTCTTTTATTACAAAAAAATATTATACATGTTTTAAATAGGTTGTGCCAAATTAAATGGCAATATCTTTCAGCCTTTTCACAATATTCAATATACATTTCAATTTTTATGTATTTGCTCTGCAATGAAAGTCTTTGAATGATGGAGTATTTATTATTTTTCTAAAATATACTGTATTATGAAACATTATTCATTCTTTTTTTTTTCATATCAAAGATATGAATCAAACTTACCATAAATGTTACTACAAATCTTCAAATCAGAGAAGCTTAAACCATCTATATCTTCTTTATTGTGAATATTTAATATAGTCAACCCTAATTACAAACAAAGAACCAAAATAAAAATCTTTGAATGAAATTCACGAGAATAGAGCTTGCCGGTATTAACTGTCTTGGGCAGTTAAGGGACATCTGCCTGATTCAAACTAGAAGTGACCTAACCAATCAGAGTGCTAGAGCCTCCCAAATCCCCCTGTGTTTCTAGAGAGAGTGTGGGTAAGCATGCAGGAAGGAGGAGGGGGCGGTGGGGTGTGTTGGCTGAGTGTGGGCCTTACCTAATTAAATGGCAAGGGCTATTGTTGTGTTGTCTGTGGTCTGGGAGGCAGGGCCAGGCTGGAACCAAATGTGGCTCAGAGTGTTCCCCAACTGGGCCAGCCAAGGGGATTTATGATGGCCCCTGCATCACAAATTCAAGGCCGTCCAGCTCTCCAGTGAGAACCATTCTTCTTTTCCACTTTTTTCTCTCCCTATTTTTTTTTTTTTTAACCAAGCTGCCAGGATTTCCACACTCCCTTGATTTTGCTCTCATTCCCCTCGGTGGTTCTTTCATAGTGTTAATAGAAAGGACATTTTGCCAAATCCTTCAAAGGCTGCAAGTCTCATGGAGAAACACAGTATCAGCCGCTGTTCCACAACGGTGTCAGCTGAACAAATTAAAGCTGAAATGTGTCGTTTTTGCACCACTGGCATCGCCACTAGCATTACAAACTGTTTTTCCAAAACCTTCCTGCAGGCCTGTTTCCATCTGTTATTTTTTTGGACACTCCGGTAGCCCCATCCCAGGAGAATTGGTCTTCTTTGTTTCTGTAAGTAATGAAAATTCATACAACAGTCTCATTTCCACCATTTACTTTTGATAAAACTACAGATCATAATTACACAATTTTGTATCCCTGCTTACAGACAGTTGGATTGAGCCCAATGCATTATGGGTGTTGAAGTTCCCCTACCTTTTTTTTTTCAAAAGGGAACATCACAACCCTTTTACCTAGGCAGTCAGCACAGATTTTTTTGGATAAGGGATACTCCACCGGTTTTTCATATTAAACTGTTATTCCCTTAACTAAGACGAGTTCATACATTCCTCTCTCATCACAGTGCGTGCACTTAATCGCTCTGGCGCACGAGACACTTTGATAGCACTGTTGTGAATTTGATCCTTTAATTATACTTTTTATTTTTTTTTTCTTTCTCCTTACATATTTGCACTTCATATCCCACAATCCTTTTGTCAGTTTCACTACATTACCCATACACCCCCTGGGCAAGGTCTATAAGTAGACCTCACTTCCTCCCTTTTTTCCTTTTGTATTGGTGAGGTGTGGTGGTTGGAATGGACACGCAACCATGTCCTTTCCTTAGGATGCGTTGAGTAAGTTTGTTTTGTCAATTGTTTAAAATATATGTTGTTATGTTACTGATGAATTATATGAGTTTAATTTCCTTTATTGTATTGTTTGTAGTGACTAAAGACCATCTTGTACGTCCTGTTTATCCTGTCCCTCCATTAACATCTGTTCATTGGCATCATGTGTGTCAGCTCCATGTGAATTAAGACTTTATCATCCTGAACTGAAAATAAAAGAGAGCAAAGGACTGGTATTTTTTCCATGTGTTTTAATCAGACACACCATCAAGTTTCTACAACTCCAACGAACTTTGGATACATTTAACATCTGATATCCAATATATGGTCCTTCGAGCCGGAGGTAGAAATTTGGTGGAATGGATTACCATGCAAGACCTGCAATCCGGCGCAGCCTAAGAAGCAGAAGACCTCCTGCCCGTTTTGTTGACTGTATGGTGAGAGAATATGGTCCTCCTCCGCCTCCCTCACCAACGCTAGTTGTAAGTGATCATCACCAAACTCAGTATGAAAATCCACCTTTAAGACATTCCCCAAGCTCATCGGCTCCTTGTGAACAGCCTCAACATGATTTGCTCGATATGGATGTTAAACAAGAGATACTTGGACTTAAGGGTATGCTTGGTGAGATGATGTCTAAAATGTCACAGTTAGTAGTTTCTTCCAGACATTCTGAATTTTCTGAGTCTTTTGATGATGCTTCTGATGATGATGATAATGCCTTAGTTAATCCATCTATTGTTCAAGAATTGTGTGCATGTATTAAGACAGCTGAAAAGAAACCTACATGTGAGAAATGTAATTCCTCAACTGTTCCTTCACTGCTTCCATTTAGTAGGCCTAGTTCTCTGCCTCTTCCTCCTTCCTCATTGTTACGTAGTCCACCCCAACAGATGCACACACATGATATAGCATCACAACTACAATTTAGTATGTTACAACCTTCTATTGTTCCATTGGTTCCTGGGCCTTCTAATTGTCAGTCCCCTCAAGTGCAAACATCACCAGTGTTGGTACAACCAACTGGTCCACCACAACCAGTTTTACCATGTAGTTCATTTTCCTCTGCCATGGTTCATTCTCAGTTATCCTCACAAGTAACATCAGCACAGTTACCTCCACAGCCTCGGTATGCTGTTTCTCAGTATTCACAGCCATTAGGACCATCCTCTAGCTCGGCAATTCCTCATATAGCCTCAGCTAATGTAGGCCCTCACATGCAATCTGTAGGTCAGGTAGGGAATGATGTTGTACAACCTCCTGCCCCACATATTCAACCAATTGTTCCCACTACCCAGTCAACTGCAATTCCATTCCTTCATCCTTATCCATATTCCCAACCATATTATGCATCATATCCTGTTCCTTCCTATCCTACTTCTCGTGTTCAGGGACCTACCTTTCCTTTCCTGGTTAATGATGATCCCCAAGAATTTGCAATGTTGCAGCTAGCATTGACAAATTTGTTGTCACCCCATGAGCCAGAACATTACAAATTCCATATCTTGTTAGATCATTTAAAATTTTCTCCAGCTCGTGATCTAGCGTTAGCTTATGCTAACGATCCTAGGCCTTACAGTATGGCTCTTTTTGCCCTACAGCAGAAATATGGGCAACCTCACCAACTAGTTTTGACAGAAATCAAAGCCATTCTAGCTCTCCCCAGGGTGAGACCAGGTGACAGCAGAGCATTTAGTAGCTTCGCATTAAAGGTTCGAGCTTTGGTTGGCATGCTCCAATCTTCGGGCCAAGACCAAGTTAAATCTGAATTATCCTGTGCTTCTCATGTACAGCAACTACTCAGTAAACTGCCCACAGAGCATGTGACCAACTTTGCCCGTTATGCCCGTACAATCCTAAAGGGTCAAAGCTACAACCTGATTAGCTTTTCCGCTTGGCTCCAAGAAGAAGCTGAGTGTCAAGCAATGGCTGATCAGGTTAGTGACTTTCCAAAACCATTCCTGAGTAAACCTCAACCAAAGACTTCCATTAACACTCGAACAGTCTTGTACGGAGTTAACAGTAATTCTGTTGTGCCAAGATCCATTAATAAGCAACCCCAGAATGTGAGAGATGGAGAATGGAGTTCCAAATATTCATGCGCCTATTGTTCCAGTAGAGATCATTTCATTGGCCTGTGCCCCTCTTTTAAATCTCTAGAAGATACCAGGAAGGATGCATGGATTAGAGAGAACAAAAGATGTTGGAGATGCGGGCTTAACCATCTAGCTGTCAACTGTGACTTGAAGAAACCCTGTCCACAGTGCAAAGGCAGACATCTTGGTATCCTTCATGGAGTTAATTGTCGTGACCAAGATAACGGTACATTCTATCTTAGTCGCCTTGGAGGTTCTGGTAGGGTCTTG